AAACACTATACATCAAACCCAGCTCACACCCACACAAAAGAATACAAACAAACAAAAAAGAAACAAAAAACCTGAGTCAAACGACTGCTTAGGGTTTCCAATCTAGGGTTTAGGGTTTAGGGTTTGGGGTTTACCTCAAGATCATATTTTCAATGGGTGCAGGTAGCCCGGGTACTTTCCAGGGAATGTTTGCTTTCCAGCATCTCCAGGCTTCAGATAAGTGTTGAAGGATAGTTCTTGCTTTGGATGCTTTAACCCCTTCAGGCATTATATCGAGAATATCATGCATAACAGCAGCTCTCAACTCTAAGTCAAAGTGAGATTCCACTCTCTGCTTCGTCACCGTCTTGGCTGTTCCTTTCGATACACGTCCTTCAAACTGTCGAGCTAACAAGTTCCCCAGCCATCGCTCAAGAAGAGGCAAAACGCCGCGGAGAAAGAACAACCATACACGCCAGCCAGGGGCCCAGAAACCACAACCAGGCCCCTTTCCTACGGGTCCTGTATTGAAACGGTAATATATTAAATGTTTTAAATCCTTGCACATACGTACTTGACGCATCAGACGATACTTGTAACTGAAAACACACAAACACACACACATACAATACCAATTCAACTCGGTGGTAAGCAGAAACCAGAAAAAAAAAAACAACAGAAACCAAACAAATAGAACCGCTAAACATGAAAAATATTACTTTATATATCTTCAAAGGCGATAAAGTAAATTCAAAACACAAAAAAAGAAAAGAGATCAGAGAAACCACAAAAACATGAATTGCATAGCTGAGGTGTACAGGCAGGTCCGTTCAACATATATGCACCATATGAACATGGGTTTCTATGTGAATTTCAATGTGTTTTTTTTCCTTTTTTTTTGTTTTATTTGAATAAATACTCACCGATACATCCCTGTAAGCTGGCCAACGTGAGCGAAGATATACTGAAGACCATCAGCAAGCTGGAAAGCATCAACATTTCCTAATCTGAATTGAACATGTGAATCAACGGTGAGTTTGGTGAGTCTAAGGATTTCTCTACAAAGATGAAATGCATTTCCGAATCTCGATTTTTTTCTTTCTTTAGTAGTAAGAGTTTTTACAGGTTTCAGGTTAAAATTATAATCTAAATGAAGATAGTTCAAGTTTTTCCGGTGTATGAGCAGGTTCAGCATGTTGTATCCTTGACGAGAAACCTGTAACCCAGCCTCAACCCAATCGATTTCTGTTGTTTGAAAGAATTTTGTAGTTTTAAAAACTCGAAATAAATTTCTTTTTTTCAATGATTTCGGTGGTCGTGAATGAAGATGACAAAGAACCCAGCATTTCAACAGTTTCTGATACGAAACTCGAACCTTCACAGGATAGTTCTGTGGTGCATGCTCTCTGAACCAACTCTGTACAAGCGGAACATCCTGGGCTCGACGCATGCGACCAGCACGCAAATTAAATGGACGACAAGACCAATACAGTGAAATACCAGCTGCTGTTGTGTCCGTGCATAGCGGGCTCTCCTCGAGGAACGGCCGCAACACAGGCGGGAGCTGTAAACCCTCAACCACCGAAGGATCTGAACATAAAAAGATCAAACCAAACTAAATTAATTATTTTAAACAAATAAAAACATTAACAAGGTTAGGAAGGAGAAACAAACAACAAAAGGATGCAAACAGAGAAGCGAAACAAAAACAAAAAAAAACAAACAGAAAAATAAAGAAACAAACAAAACAAACACTCATACACTCCACCCCAACAAACAGATCTGAAGCAACTTGATAAACCCTCTATTGACCTGCTTTCTGTCTGTAGTTCCTGCTGCTCCTACCCCTACCCCAGCTGCAGCAGCAGCAGCAACAGCAGCAGCAGCTGCTGCTGCTGCTGCAAATGCTGCAGCAGTGTGTGGTGCTTACCGACGAGCGCGTCTGTATCAGCACTCATTTTGTATGCGGGGAGAGGATTGATGATGGGGTCATAGTAGAAAGCAGGAAGGTCTGGGTCTT